CAGGGGATGGCGGGTCACGTGCCTAGGCGGTGAACCGCGGCCGTAAAATATAACTAAACTAAACTAAACTAAACTAATCAAACTCGAGCTCGACAAACGCCACGCGGAATGGCAACGCAGCCCCAACCCACTTGAAGTCGGCTCCGATCATAGACCTCGAAATAGCGCAGTACATACATGTGCCAAGATCACGTTGGCGTTGGCGTTGGCATTGGCCGTCTGGAGGATTGATTTCTGTTACGTATTAGTATGCGGGGTGAGATCGTTTGTATCTGAGAGAGGTCGTGCGAACGGTGCGGTGACTTTGGCACTTTTTCAGGACCCATCTCCTCGTGTCCACCTTCACAGATGCCCTCGAGTCTCTTTGGAGGCCATGGGTGGTTGGACTGGTGGAGCGACCGTGGCGAGCAATGCCGATCCCACGCCTAAATTTCCGCAACGGGTTAGGTAGTGCTGCAGAGTTCAGCTACTTTATCCCCACGATGTGAGGTCAACGGATGCTCAATTATTTACTAACCGCTACGTAACTATAGCACCGACTCGAATTGTAGAGTCCACTTTAGCCTGTGTCATATACGGAAATATTGGAGATGTCTAGCTATCTTAACCCCTCCCCCACATCATCTCAAAGTCAGAAGTCCGGATTATATGGTCCCCTCGCATGATATTTTGCATCTATACCAATTTCATGATGCAAATGGCATCGTTTATCTTCCCCCCCCCCCCATGTTCCATGCTTGCTACAGTCAAGGGGTATGGACGTTAAGGCTTTACCTCAAGACGGGAATGTAGTTGCACGTTCTGCAACTTCATGGGACAGGCAAGAAGATTAGAAGTGAATGTCAAATAAAACACCCATTCAATCCGTACATAATCATGATAAAAAAATCGTTCAATCGGTTTTAACAACCCCCAACATCTAGACAACTCCCGCAATCATCACCTTGAAAACATCCTGTCGACCAGCCTTGAGTCTTGACTAACTCAAACGTCTGCTCGGCCTCTTCAAACCTGAACCGGTTCGTCACCAACTTCTTCACATCAATAATGCCTTTCCCAATAAGATCGATTGCAGCTGGGTAACATCAAGTCAAATACCGGATCGATCCCTTGACGACCAGACCCCTCGTGTAAACAGCCGTGATAGGGAAATTAATGACCTCTTTACCCATTCCTACCTGAACAATCGTGCCTCCATGGCGAGCCGCAAGAATGCCCATTTGAACACAAGGCTCGGCCCCGGAGCACTCAAGCACCACATCAGTGCCCTCATCAAGCCCGCACTCTTCCTTCAGCTTCTGCGCCATCTTCTCTGCATGGGCAATCGGGTCCGCTCCTGGTTCCGGTCTTTCAGGCATGAAAACATGGTCAACCCCGTAGGACGTGGCGACCTCCAACCGGGACTGGACCACATCAACACCAATGACCTTCTTCGCACCATGTACCTTGGCAACTGCCTGGCACAGAACGCCAATGGGACCACAGCCAAACACCAGTACGGTTTGGTGCGCGCGCAGATCCGCGGTCTTCGCAACGGCAACAGCCATACTAACGGGTTCGACCATGGCTGCCTCTTCCATGCTCATATGGTCGGGGACTTTGTAGCAGAAATCAGCAGCGTTGACGTAGTATTTCGCCAACGTGCCGTCCCAGGGAGAAGTCGCTGCGAAGATCATGTCGCCGCAGAGGTGGTACGAGCCGGAACGACATTGTGTACAGCGACGGCATGGCACTCCAGGTTCCATGGCGACCCGGTCGCCTGGTTTTAGGTGTGAGACGGAGGATCCTACTTCAACCTCCTGATGAATGTATGCTTTGCTCAACAGGTCCAATTTAGAAACCAGACGCCGCCGATACAGGGCAGTTAGGGGAGAGACCCATTTCCCACCACCCTTGCCTGAATAAGTCGAAGTTACTTTCCGGAAAAGACGTATGGTCTCATTCTGTCGGTTTCCATCCAGTTGTGCACCGAGATCAATATCCATGACCACAGCACCTGGTCAAGTATGTATTTTGATCAGTCTCGTTACTTTCATATCATTTTGGTTTCAGAAAAAGGATTACTTACCTATAATATCGAAAGTCAGATTCGTGCACAGTTCATGCATTTCGAACGTTTCGCCTGTAGAGGCATATTTGTCAAGAGTGGCCACGAATCTCCGCGTCTTCTCCACGACGCACGGTAAAAGGCGGAGTAGATGTTGCGAGGCAAATCCCCGATTAAATCGCCGGCGAAGTGACATCCACTCCTCGCCCTAATCACGAAATAATTAGCGCTTGCTTGTTTGATGACTGACCATGTAAATGGAATGGCGATTCACATACCTCCACATTGATAATTGAACTGGCACCAAGCAAGTCCTCAAAGGCTCTGGTCGTCGATGCCTTTGGTAAACTGTACGGAAAGGCCTTGGACGTCTTCGTGATCTGCTCGGCAACTTCATGACTGCACACCACACATAAAGGGGGCGCTGTGGGATAAAGGTCCAGTACTAAAGCTGGCACGTCCCCTAGCGATTCATGGATTCGGGAAAATACAGCGTCTGCAAACGGAGCACTCAATAATTCGGTAGAACCATCATGTCTTCTCTCTCGGCCACCTCTTTAAGGGACGTCTTGGGGCGATCTATTCCTTACCAATGTGTCTGTCCCGATTCCCATTGGCGATGAAATCATTCAAAACCTTCAGATGGCCCAACAAAAGCGATCGCGGCGGCTGTGGCTAGTTGACATGGGGACTGCGATGCTGGCGAAGGCGCTCAATAGCGTAGATTCCTCCCAGTAAGAGACCAGCGAAGACAACATTCTATAGTAGCGCCTTCGCGTCCATTTTTTTTAACAAAAAAAGGTACATGGATTCTCTTCAAGGTAAAGACCCATCTTTAAATTTCTGAGGATATCTCTCCTTTTAGATTTTTCAGTGTTCGTTTCCATTTGATCCCAAAAGTTGCGTCGAGGAATCCATAATCGTAATAAATGCCGTATATAGTTTAGAGTCATCGAAACCGGAAAACGTCCTGAAGGATGCTCACTCGCGGGTATATTTCTCCGGTACGGTACAGTTTAGTATGGGGAAACCAGTGGGTCCTTCGCTAGGTAATTCTTTCGAATAAATGTATGTAGGTGGGTTGATGTGTGGTATGGAGGACTGGGCTGGGGGGGGTCCTTTTTGCGCATGGATGATGGTTTTCAAATATGTATTTGTGACTGAACACAATCATGGATATTGGATGCTACCGTATGTCGCCTTCAAAAGAATCCCTCGTTCATTTAAACATGGCAACCAGTGCCTACAATTGCCTTCGCTAGTATCACGCAATGAAGAAATCAAACCCCCTCATGAGGAGATCAGTCCTGAAATATCCCCAGCGGAATTGCCATCGAAACTAAATACTTCGGCATATTAACCGCCTCCACGATCTGCAGGTTTCCCACCACGCTGGCGAGCATGTACGCATCCACACGAGACAGCCCCTTCGTCGCAACCAACCACTCAATGATATGCCGGACTGCCTGTTTCGACGCCTCCGTCAAGTCGGAACCGAGTCCCGTCGCAGCGTATCGTCCGGACCTGCTTAGGACGGGATGATATAACGGCGTCTGTGCGGCGGAGTCGGCGGACGGAATCTCATAATGGGGCGTCTTCACCCACGGCTGGTTCTTGCAGACCTCGAATCGCAACGTCACCTTGATCGGTGTCTCGATGGCCGTCCCGCATACCTCGCCATGGCCCTGTACTGCGTGGCCGTCGCCGCAACTGAACAGCGCCCCGCTTGTCTGCACGGGGAGATACACGATCGATCCGATCGTCAGGTCGCAGCAGTCGATGTTCCCGCCGGCCTCATTCGGCGGAATGACCGAGAGGTCTTTGTCCGAGGTGGCCGGGGCGAGACCCATGCAGCCGAGGAACGGACGCAAGGGGATGGAGACGTGATCATTGAGCGCCGCGGTCTGAGTGGTGCGGTCGAGGTGCCAGATGCGCAGGCTGGGCTGCGGGAAGTCGTCAGCCAGCAGACCGAAGTTCGGGATGACGGCCGACCAGCCCCAGTCGGCGGTTTGGAGGTCAAGGACTTCGACTTTAAGCGCGTCGCCGGGCTCGGCGTCCTGGATGCAGACGGGGCCGAAGACCGGGTTGGCGATGCTGATGTCGAAGGCGCTGAGGGCGCTGGTATCTGAGTCTTTAGTGATTTGGCCGTTGCTGCTGTCGATGGCGTCGAAGGTGAGGGTCTCCCCGGATGAAATGGTCTGTACCGGGGGTATGTTCTTGGACCAGCGGAGGTGGGAGTGGTTGCGGCCGATGTGTCCTACTGGAGGGGTCATTTTTGGCGGGTTAGATCGTTTGGTAGATGAGGGGAGGATGTGGTCTGCGGGTTTGATAAAGCCTAGGATAGAGACGGGAGGAAAGAGGAGCGTCCATGGAAGGAGAGGGTGAATAAGTAGTTGCACAAACTTACAGGAAGTTCACGGTAAAGAACAGCAAACCAACAGACAACACGACGCAAGGTGACACAAACTACAGGATCATGAAACCGAGTCTCGTGAGCGTTGCAGCTGACTGTAATGAATGCTACCTAGAAATCATTCAACAACAACCCACAACCCGGACCCCAACGGAGCAAAAGAGAAGGAAGAAGATATGATGCAACTCCCGCCGCACTCTGCACAAAGCCCTAAGTCACGGGGGGATCCAATCACCGGCGGCTTCCGACCCTTTTCCAGGGTCCAAGGCTGATACGCGCTGGACTAACATCCACTTGTCAATTAATTGGCCGATGACGGAGCTTGGGCAGTTATCTGGGCTGTGCAGACCCCCAGTGGGCATTGATCTTTCATCTGGTGGCTGTTGGAGGGGCTGAGAATTAGTAGTATGTATGTACCTCCTGCCTAATCCGGTCGGTTTGGATGGTTTCTGTTATCTGATCGGTGACCAGCCCTCACCATGATGGATTTGAGGTATTCGGACTTTAGGCGAGGAATCCGGCATTTGATTTCTGGAATTTCTACGGCACTAGGTAGAGTAGTTACCGAATAAATCTCACTAAGCAGTGCCATGATAGGTTGCTTCGCTTCGGATGTACTCCGGAGGTACATGCAGGTTTGGGCACGGTATGTACGCACTCGACTGACTCGGGACAAGTGGCATATCCTGTTCGATAGACAGAGAGCTTTCTCCAATCTGGTTGGGTCAACTACATGGAGAATGGTAGATTGGAACCAGTCCGGTAGTTCTATACAAAGAAACTCTCCCTCACCAAGAAAAATTAGCTCGACCCGCTTGCTCGAATGTAACCCTGCGTTGTACCTCTACTCGGAGATGTCTTCTCTCTTTATCTATTGCTCATGGCTCTAGATACTATGGACTAATGGTCCTCGAAAAAAAGTGTGATAGCTCACTCCCTGACCGGATTCCGTTTTTCCGTGTCTATGTATATGGGTATGCTACGTCAGGCAAGTATGTTGATACATGCTTTTAGGAGTAAATAGTGCCAGTCGACGCTCAAATAATATCACGTAGTTCAATCTGCATAGTTTTTAATAATATTCAAGTCGATGTGGAAAGGTGGCTGCCTAGGATGCTATCTATTTTACAGTCGACCAGAGCGACATTTTACTGCTTTCTCGTCAAAATGTCGAATATTTTTCCGGTTTCTATTTCATTTCCTTTCTAGATCCTACCATGGCAAAGTTTGTGCCAAATGCTTCCTGGCATACACGAAGGTGCTTATTTCCAATTAGTGGGTTAGGCAACGAAGCCTGTAGCAGGCCTCTGGTGATGAACCAAGACCAGGGGTCACTTCTGGTAAGTACTCGACTATTGTCGCTAATTTCCGTAATTTTGTTGACGTATTCCCATATTGAGACAGTATATAGTGGCTCATCAAGCCAAAGTATACGATGCCTAATATAAAAAAGTTTATGCATCATTTATGCACGGATCTCGTATCGATTAGTCATTACGTCCAGTCGATTCGTTAACTTGTGTGGAATCAATTTCCATCTGATCCCTTTTCTTATACTCCTCCAAGTTTATCCTCAAAATCTTCTGAACCGCCCAGTATGGGCTGGGTAGGAGTGGTCACGCTTATTGCCACCGCTTGTTTCGTGCTTTACAAATATCCCCCTGCGTCTTGGACGCCGGATGCCCCCTCGCCCCAGCCGAGATCGACACCCGAAGACGAGCAGAAGCCGCCTGTCATCCAGGAGGAGACGAAGCATCCAGAACCACAACCGAAGCCCGTAGAGGCAGACGACACCAGCGCGGAAGAATCACAGTCGACACCGAAGGCGTCGGCATCGAGTGCGCCCGCCCTCGAGGTCCCGACTTTCAGTCTCAACGCCGACGAGCCATCCTCGACCGCGCAGCCATCCTCCGACAGGAACCTCTCCCCCCAACAACAGCAACCTCAAAATGGATCGGCAAAGCCGCCTGTCGCAGTACCGATGATGGCACCGCCCAAGGACACCCTGATGCCCCCGCCAACGGCGCCCCTGCCGCGCCGTCAGCCCAACGCCTCCAGTTCCTCATTAATGCCTCCCCCTCCGCCGCCGCGATTGCGTCCCACCATGTCGCAGAACCAGCAGCAGCAGCAGCAGCAGCAGCAGCAGCCCCAAACCCAACCGTCCTTGGCCGTGCCAGGCCGACTCCCCCCACGTCCTACCGCCGGCTCCAACTCCCTCCGCCCGCCCCCTTCGGCTGCCTCCTCGATGCGCGGCCCCCTTCCCAACCGTTCGCCAAACAGCCTCGCCCCGGTCAAACTCACCGCGAAGCCGGCCCCCTCGTCCAAACGAGCCGTCCTCGAACCGGGTTACTCGCCGCTCGACTGGGCGGCCCTCACCTCCAACCCGAAGAACAACCTGCGCGGAGCGAATCTCCCTCCGCATTTGATCCGCGTGACGCCGTCGCAACTCAAGACGCAGAACGGTCGCAAGGGGTTCGATGCCTGGACATCGTACCAGGGCAAGGTCTACAATATCACGCCGTATATACCGTTCCATCCCGGAGGGAAGGGCGAGCTGCTTCGCGGTGCGGGGAAGGACTCGGCGAAGTTGTTCTTCGAAGTTCATCCGTGGGTGAACTGGGATGCTATTCTTGGGGAGTGCCTCGTTGGGATATTGGTTTCGGAGAATGACGAGGGGAGCGAGAATCAGCTTGATGCGATGGATTGATATTTTCGTCATCACATACCCCCCGCATCTACATGGGCCAGGGTGATTGATTGACTGGTAATAGCGTATAGATTTGCACACAAGACAGACCTTATATGTACATTAGACATGATAGACTTTCTTATATTGGACTGAAAGAGAGAAAGTGATACCCTCTGGTATGCCGTACAAGATCAATACCTACTTATCTCTCTGCTCTTCGTTATATCTTATCATAACACATGCATCATCCACTCTCCCATCAAACTTGAACCCGGGTGGAAACTCTACAATTCATCCTGGACCTTGGCCTTCTCCTCTTCTTCCTCCTCATCCGCATCCTCGTTCTTCACCAACTCCGTCTCAAAGATCAACGTCGAACCACCAGGGATCGGGCCGATGCCACGATCTCCGTATCCGTACTCGGGTGGAATCGTCAGCGTGCGCTTCTCACCGACACACATATCCAGGAGTCCTTGGTCCCATCTAATCAAACAAAATCATTAGCATATACGTAATACATTCATTCATTCATTCATCCATCCCAGCCTAACCAATCCCTCCCCTCTCATTTTCAGCGCCTCCATAAAGAGTGCATAAAATAAAAGACGGGGAGCAGCATAAACCAAAACAAAGGTAACGCGAAAGGAAAAGAAAAGGGGGGAAACAAACCCCTTAATAACCCTCCCGGCACCCAAAATAAACCGCAAAGGCGAGTTCCGCTTATAGCTGGCATCGAACTCGGAGCCGTCGGCAGCCAGGGTACCGCGGTAGTGCATCTGGATGGTATCGTGTTTCTTGGTTTTGCGGGTGCAGTCGACCTTGTGGGTTGTTTCGATGCCGAGTTCCGCGGCGGCGGTGAGGGTGGTGAGGGCGAGGAGGAGGGTGGGGAGGAGTTTCATTTTGATTGAGGAGTTTGGGTTCGATTGATTGGTGATTGAGGTGAGATGGGGATCAAAGGTGGTAAGGTAAGGTAGATAAAGTAGTAGGTACGGAGCAGTGGTGAAGCTTACGGAGGTGGAAACTGGAGAAGAGGAGATTGGTTTGAGTAACGTGGTGGATTCGTTCGGAGGTTAGCTTGCTGTGGGGCTGGAGTTATCTCCGTCTTGGCGGTTCATCAGTTCGTTTGCGGAACTACTCATACAGTTATACTACTAAGGTAGTGCTACCTTGCCTACTGGGCAGTCAGGGTAGGTTAGACGCAACGGTAAGGGCAAGAATTGATGATACTGTTCTTCTCTTTTTTTTTTGTGTCTCCTCAAAATGGCATCATTCTTGTCTGTTATAAATACATTACCCGAACACCACACTCTACAATCATGATTATCCAACCCGGTAAAGGAACAGCCATCCAATCAACAAGGCCAGAACTTATTGGGACGTTCATCCAATACGTCGGATCCGGAAAGCTGAAGGGCCAAAAAGTTCTTATCACCGATGGAGAGTACGCGTCTTCCTTCCCGTCTTGTCCAGCTGCTACATCAATACAGAATGTCTAAAGCTGATACTGATGGTATAGTTCCGGAATTGGCCGCACCGTCGCAATCCTCATGGCGAAAGAAGGTGCCGATATCACGATTGCGCACGCCCCCGAGAAGACCGAAGAGGCCGAAGACACGAAGAGATTGATAGAATCAGAAGATCGGGTCTGTCTTCTCGTGCCGGGGGACTTGTCGAAACGGGAATATTGTCGGAGGGCTGTAGACGCACATATGCATAGGTCAGTGACGTGCTTGCTATGAGATCGCTGGTCAGACATGAGACTATGAAGCTGACTCTTGACTTAGGTTTGCAAAGCTAAACGTTCTAGTGAATAATGCATCCAGACAAAACCTGTACCGGGACCTGTCACAGCTTGTCCACGACCGGATAGGACCAATCTTCCAAGGCAATGCCGTCCAGATGATTGCCATGGCGAAATATGCGCTGCCGTTTATGTCGAGGGGCGATTCGTGAGTTTATAGATACAGATACATAAATCGTGATAGCTGCCTATGAATGAGTCACCCAAAGTTAACGTTGCCATCTTAGCATCATCAACACCACCTCCGTCGTTGACGTCCGCGGTGCAGATTCCATGGCCGATTATGCGGCCACAAAAGGTGCCATTTTTGGTTTTACGCGGTCATTAGCGCCGCAATTGATTCCGAAGGGTATCAAAGTTAACTGTGTCGCGTAAGTCGATTTGATTGGATTTGATAGCAGGAGACAATTGGGCTTATTGGATTCGGTAGACCTGGGGTTATATACAAGCCCGTACAAAGAAGAACTGAGATGGAGGGTTGGAGATCGTCTAATTTTCTCGTTCGAATCGTTGAACCGAGTGAGGTTGCAACTAGTTGCGTCTTTTTGGCTAGCGAGAAGGCTTCGCTTTATTGTGAGTTTTGTTATGATCGCTTCGGTGATGATCTTGGTCTGAGGCTTTGCTGACTTGTTATGTAGCGGGATATATGTTTCCTTTGAGTGGGTAGGACATGTATGAGGAGAAAGAGAGAGAGAGAGAGAGAGAGAGAGAGAGAGACTTGAAACATGAAGAACGCAAAATAAGGCTCTTATAACATGACCACAAAGCAGGCACTACCTACAGATGTAATCAAAGATATGTACAATTAACTGCAGCGGAAAACCCATGCCATCCTTGATAGCAAATTATCAATACAAAAGCCACGGCCTAGCCTGGGAGAGAGCTTTGTCCCATCCCGCTTCGTTCGTCCAGATGCCGATACTTTCAACCTCATCTTTGCCTAGCTTGAGATCGTTGTATAGGTGCTGGAGATTTATTAGAGCGTGAGAGCAGTAACCAACACAGCACCATTATCTTTCACTCAAAAAAAAAAAAAAGCCATATATAAGATAGGACCACTTACGGGAAACAACCCCTCCTTGGGACGCGGTCCGCATACATTGCCCTCAGGCGATTCCCAGCGAATATGTGGCGCTACACGAGAGTAGGGGATTCGAAGGATGTAGATGAGAGGTTCATCTTGGAAAAAGAACTTGAGCGTATTGGGCACTTGGAACGCCGTGGAGAGGTGGATGAATTTCGACTTCTCGTCGATCTCGCTGACCGGCAGTCGGTCCGGTAGCGGCTCTCGCACCGGGGACGTGGACGGTATGATTTTGTAGACGAAGGCGGGTTCGGCGTCTGTCATTTTTCCGTTTCTTTTTTTCTTTTCTATTGTCCTGTTTCCAACGCGATCGAATAGAAGCTTGTCGCGGTTGAATATTGAAAATTAAGATTGCGATAGATAGAGGGGCACGACCGGAAGATGGTGTGGGGCTTGCTCCTCGGTGGTTACGCTACCTTACATAACGGGGCGCTAAGTTCCTATAATTACCCTACTTGTATATTGTAGGTTAGCACGTTACCTGGGAATTCGTCATGGATCTTATTTGTGCCTTTTTGAGAACCGCAGGCTCCCCGGTAATTGGGATCAATAACCAATTGAAAAAATATATCGAGGGAAGCATGGGGGTGGCGCAATCCTCGTGCCATCTTGAACCTTGGGGTGTAGAGATCTATTGGCGGAACCGGAATCGATCGAGATGGGTTGACTCATGGACTTCTAGATGTTCTTTCAACTCGCAATATACATTAGATAGTTATGATGAAATCGGCAGCATGAATCCATCCGCAAGACATACTGCGGTGTCAAATCCCGATTTGAGTGGGGCTTGAATCACAACGCCTTAACGTGGCATATTAAATATTTCGTGCTGTTATTATAGACCAAGCCGGCTGAAGATTATCGGCATTGCGTTCTGACAAAACTTAGGTAATCCCAGGCCCCAGGAGATAGAAGAAGAAGAAGAAGAAATATACATATGCCGACACAGAATATATCAGCGAATGCAGGTACAATTGATAGGTCTGCTTTGGCTGGGGACAGGCTTTATCCACGTTCTTCGACAGGAGGGGGCCGATAGTGGGTCAACGATCGTTGAGTAACCGATCAGTCCAGATTCACCTGCGATTTTGTATGCGCTCCCCGGAGAATGTGAAAAAAAAAAACCTGATATCTGCGGAAATGTTCAATGAGAGATGGAGCCTTGATCAATTTCCCTGTTCCTCGAATTCCAGAGCGACCGGGCCGACCGGGCATGGCAAGTGGCTGGAGCAATGATCGACGTCACGAGCAGGGCAGTCTGTGGCGCAGTCACCTGATGGACGGGACCATACCCGATCAGGAGATTTGTTTTCCCTGGGAGTGCCTTCCGATTTACTCTTGCTTTCTCCCCCCGCTCCGTTGCTACTACCACTTTCTCTCTCTTCCTCTCCCTCCCTCTCTCTCTCCTCCTTTCCCGTTTCTTTTCGATTGTCTCTCTGGAATTCTTGAGAAGGTGCGACCATCTGCGACCTGGATTACGTGAGTCTTTCAACCGCTTTGTTTTTCCTCAATTTCGTCCATCGTCCGTTTCTCATCCACCCTCCCTCCCGTCTCTAGGTCTCGTACCCGTTTCTATACCAACCCGAGTCTTTCCGCAGCCGAAGGGTCATGCCGCTGTTGGCCTCTTGATTTTCGCATTTCATTTTCATCGCATCATTCGGTCAAATTACTGCTTCGGTTGGCGAAGCAGGCATGCGGCCAATTGACCTCGACACTCCCATACCGTCGTTGGCATTCGTATCCTCACATCTAGAGTCGCACCCGTGATGTCCATCTCACCGGCCTCCCTTCGACGTACGCAGACGGATTTATCGACCGACACCTCGAGTCCGCTCCGTCATGGGTCGACAGCATCTATCAACTCCTCGATTTATTCCATCTCGTCGAATTCATTCGCACCAAGTCGCACAAGTACTGTTTCGTCAAATGCCTCGATGGGGTCTGTAACCGGCATGGGCCACAAGAGAGGTAGAAGCGAATACAATGCCATGGCTGGCGACAAGACACCCAGACCGAGCACCTCCAGTGCCGCAACGACGTATGAGAATATCCGCCGTTCCTTGCGACCACTGCAGCAGGCCCCAAATGCCTCTCCACCAGCCAGCAAGCCGTCAGCCTACCGGCATACGCGGAGTCAAACTGTCGACAACCCTCAGTACTGGAAAGAGAATCGCCCGCAGACCCTTGAATCGCGCCCGTCAAATCATACGGAGTTTCAATCTCTGAAGAAAGAGGATTTGTACACAGCGCAAACGCCTCCGACAACCAACCCACCCAAGACCTACTCTCCTCGACCAGCCTCACCCCTCACGCCGACTCAATCTAAGGCGCAACATTCGCATAGCCAGTCGAATCCACCCGTTTTCAAAACGGCCTTATCTGCTCCGGAGCTGGAGATCTTTCAGAAATCATCCACTGGTCACCTGCGAAACTTGTCGAAATTTGCCCAGTCCGGCGAAACCGAGGAGTTTGCCCTTGACAGTCATACCCCATCGGTCGTTGGCTTACAAGGACGACGACGCTTAAAGCGCACGGATTCGGTATCTGTCAGTCATGGCCCGGCTGCGACAGCAAAGAAGAATGCGTCGGCATGGACGGCTGGAAACTGGATGGATCAGCAACGACAGTTCCTACAGGCGTACGAGTATCTTTGCCATATCGGAGAGGCCAAGGAATGGATCGAAGAAGTGATCCAAAAACAGATCCCGCCCATCGTTCAGCTTGAGGAGGCTCTCCGGGATGGAGTGACGCTCGCAGAGGTCGTCCAGGCGATGTACCCGAACCGCAACTTTCGAATATTCAGGCACACGAGGCTGCAGTATCGCCATTCGGACAACATTGCTCTGTTTTTCCGTCTACTGGACGAGATCGAGCTGCCCGAACTTTTTCGATTCGAATTGATCGATCTGTACGAGAAGAAAAACATACCCAAAGTCATCCACTGCATCCATGCGCTATCGTGGCTCCTGTTTAAGAAGGGGCTTGTCGAGTTCCGAATAGGTAATCTCGTTGGCCAGCTAGAATTCGAGCACCATGAGCTAGAGCAAATGCAGAAGGGTCTGGACAAGGCGGGTGTGAGCATGCCCAGTTTTTCGGGTATGGCGGCCAACTTCGGCGCTGAGCCTGAGCCAGAACCCGAGCCTGAGCCTGAATCTGAGGAGGATCGAATCCACCGAGAATTAGGCGAAAACGAGGGGGCGATCACAGAATTTCAAGCGCAGCTCAGGGGGGCAATGCTCCGACTACAGCTTGGGAATTTGATGAACGACCTATGGGACTTTGAACCGTTGTTGATTGAACTCCAAGCGCGCCTTCGCGGCGACTGGGCTCGCCAGGTCATCCAATATCGTCTGGATATGCGAAAATTTGCAGTCAATCTCCAAGCGAGTTGCAGGGGCTTCATCGTGCGCTCTCGCCAGAAAGGGGACATGGAAAGCTACCAAGCCCAAGAGTTCGATGTACTACAGCTACAATCAATCATCAGAGCTTCTAAGGCCAGATCCCAAGTTAACTATCTGCGAAGCCAGATGCGAAAAGGGGAATCCGGCGTGAAACGCTTCCAGGCCGCTATTCGAGGTGCTTTGCAGCGCAAGGAGATGGGCGACCTATACGCCGATCTGGAGGACGCAGAGGGCGGAATTCAATTACTGCAAGCGGCAACTAGAGGATCCCTTCAACGCCAACGGTTCTCACAGCAATACGATGCGACTCGATCTGCCGAAGAGAGTGTGAAACACCTGCAGGCTTTCATACGGGGTAACTTCCTCCGCAAACAAATGAGCGCGCAATACGAGAAGTTCGACGACGCCCAGCGCAACGCGGAGCTCCTGCAAGCATTCATTCGAGGGATGCTGACCCGCAGCTCTGTCACGCATACACTGGACATGCTTTCCAAAGACACCCCATCAATCCTTGCGATCCAAGCCGGGGCAAGAGCTTTGGCCGTTCGAAAGCAACAAGCTCAGCTAGCAGAAGCACTCTCAAAGACGGAGAATCAATGTATCGATCTACAGGCTGCTGTGCGTGGAGGCGCTCTTAGGGAGCGTCTCGAGCATCTCCGATCTCAGTTGTCCGAGCACGTGCCATCAATTGTCGACCTTCAAAGCATGCTCCGGGCACAGGCTCTCCGTACGCACTTGGACGAGCAGGCAGAAGCCCTGGAGAGCGAGAGCGCCAATATTCTCGACCTGCAGTCAATGGCTCGAGGAATGCTCTTAAGGCGACGCCTAGAAGCTGATGCCGATGCTTTGCAACAGGAGGAACTCACAATTATCGACCTACAGGCTCTTGCAAGAGCCGCAATTCTGCGGATTGAAGTGGGCGGAATACTTGAGGACCTGGAAGACTGCGAAGATGAAATCAGTCAGCTCCAGGCACAGATCCGAGCAATGCTCGTCCGCGTTGATGTTGGGCAAGATTTGGCCGACCTGGCTGCTGAGGAAGATGTCATCACTGATCTCCAAGCGCACATCCGGGGACACCTTGTTCGGTTCAAGTTTGAAGAGAAGAGACGCTATTACCGAGCCAACATGGAGAAGGTTATCAAGGCACAAAGCTTTATAAGAGGCAGGATACAGGGCCAAGCGTACAAGAGCCTGACAAGTGGCAAAAACCCACCGGTTGGAACGGTCAAAGGCTTTGTTCATCTCCTCAATGATAGCGAGTTCGACTTCGACGAAGAAATTGAATTCGAACGCATGAGAAAGGTGGTCGTTCAACAGGTTCGGCAAAACGAACTGGCGGAGCAATACATCAGCCAACTCGATATCAAGATTGCCCTACTAGTGAAAAACAAGATTACACTCGATGAAGTTGTGAAGCATCAGAGGCATTTCGGCGGCCATGTTGGCAGCCTTCTGCCAAACCGTGAAATCTCCTCAAAGGACCCCTTCGACCTGAAGGCCCTGAACAAGACGTCACGAAGAAAGTTGGACCAATACCAGGTGCTGTTCTTCCTTCTGCAAACGCAATCTCAATATCTTGCCAAGCTCTTCCGAAGGTTGCGTGAGCAGAACACGGCAGAGAAGGAGTATGAGCGGATTCGACACTTGATGATGGGACTCTTCGGATACTCTCAGAAGAGACGCGAGGAATACTACCTGATCAAGCTTCTGGCGCGTTCTGCCAGGGAGGAGATTGAAAGCTTCGATTCATTGCACGAGTACCTGCGCTGCAACTCCTTCTGGAACAAACTCTTCGCATCGTACATCAAATCGCCGCGGGATCGGAAGTTCATGCGTGATGTTCTGGGCACCGTGGTGCGG